TATGGGAGTTGAAGTCCATGCATCTTAAAATGGTTGAGACTGAGAAACACTGATCTAACACATTATCTAGGTGCAGTGGTAGACTTTGAAGAGCCACTATTAATGTGTATAAACTTAAGATTAAAAATCACAGCTGGGAGAATTGATTAAAAAGGCAAGAAAGTAGTTCCTGATTCCTATTTCCCAAACACGGGTGGAAGGATCATATGAACAAATTTCTCAGCGTTATTTTGCAAGAGTGTTTTTAAAGGCTTTGCAAATGCTGCATTCTCAAGATTATCCCAAAGGTGCTCTTTCCAAAAAGCAGCTGGACTTTCTTGTTGTTGTTGGTTGGTTTTTTTTGAGAATATTGTGCTTTTAATCCAAGAAGCTCCTTCAGTTCAGAAGCTTCTTGGATGAGAAGCAAAACATTTTCAAAGAAGAAACCAAAAAAGTCTAATTACCTTTTGGAAAAAGCACCTTTGGGACAGCCATGACCTGGACGAGTGAGAAACTCCATTGACGTTCCCCAGAAGAGACTATTTGATGGCCACGAAAAGTGAATGGAAAAGCTCTGTAAGAGACGATGTGGAAATGAGTGCTAATTTAGAGTGTAGCCCGAGAGGTGAGTGCGTTGATTGGGTAATAAATAAACATCCAGCTGAGACGGATGTGGTGGCAAGCCTAAACTTATGAGCTCAGCCTGCAGCAAACAAGTTACACCTGAACGTCAAGTCTCACTTTGAGAAGAAGGAGTTCCCGTGGCCTACAAACGCATTCAGGTATCCAAGGACCCAGGAAGCATCTCACTTCACTCCTGCTGGCTCTGGGAAAGAGAAGACGGGAAGGCAACCTTGACTCATTGATCAACGAGCAATGAAAGAAGAAGCTATGAAGGTGACCGAGCTTTCCTTCTTCACTCCGAGCAGCTTGTTGGAAGGGCAGAGCTAAATCTCATTGGAGATTTACTTCCCAAGAAAGGGATGGACAATTTCATCCGAAAACATTTGCATTTCTTTCATACGTTTTGGAACAAGTGTGTGCCCAACGGAGCCTCCAGTAACCCTTCTTTCGAGACCTGGGAACCGATCCCAGGATATTTACATCCCACCCTGGATCCTGACCCTGCTGAAGACAAAGCTTCCCTTCGTGGGGTGCTGTACAACTACACTGCCAAGAATGCCGAGGAGCTGAGTGTCACTAGAGGGGACAAACTTTATGTCCTCAAAGAAGAGGGGGGTTATGTCCTTGCAAGGCGCTTCTCTGGAGACAGAGTGGTGGGCTATGTTCCAGCCAGCTATATCAGCAAGGGCAGTGAGGAACCAGCCAGCCATCAATCGTAAGTACCAAAGGCTTGGGACTGTCACTTGTCATCCCTATATCCCTCAAAAAAACTTCTAAAATGAGAAGTGTCGTGCAACATTTAGGAAGGAAGGTTTGGGAAGTGGTGGAAACTTTCCAAACAGGCAAAGCTACTTATTACACAGCAATCTTGAGGGTGGAAACATCAAAATAAGCCACTAGAGGGCTTCTAAGAGAGATTTTTTCATATCTCTTTACTGCTCTCTAGTGGTTGTCCTGAAGCTTGAAGCCCAGATATTGTAGCCTTATAGCGGTATTAGAGAGTCTTCCCTATCATTCCCCTGCGCTGCCTGCTCCCTCTCCACCCACCGTTTAATTTGTGTTATTGTACTTTTATCGTTTATTTTTGTTCCATTGCTTTGCTAGCGTTATGTTTGCATTTTTATCGTTATTTTTCACTTTACCATTGTAAGCCACCCAGAGTAGCCCAATGGTGAGATGGGCAGCAAATAAATTTAACAAATAAATATAATAAAGAAATCTGATGAGCAGCAGCAGCAACAGAAAGAGCATCAACAATAGGCTACAACATTTTATCCAGAGGTTCAGGTAGATGTGCTAAATAGCTCCCATTGGAAAAGAGAGAACATATATTTTTTCTTTACAATTGCTTGATTGAGTTTCTTTGTATGTGATGCACTGCAGAGTCAATTAAGCTGAGTTATAAATTGCTATTTTGAGTAAGCCAATGCTTGCTAAGCAATGGGCATATCAGAAAAAAGCTGTGTGTATGTTTACTATTTCTATTTATCTGTCCTAGATTCTTTAATTCCCCAGATCTTGCTAGAGGTACAGTACAGGTAGCCCTCGACTTACAACAGTTCATTTTGTGACCACTTACAAGGCCACTGTAAAAACAACTGTTTTTCACATTTATGACCATTGTAGCATCCCTATGACCACTGATCAAAATTCGGATGCTTAGCAACTGATTCACAGTTATGACGGTTGCCTCATCCCAGGGTCATGTGGTCCCCTTTTGCGATCTTCTGACAAGCAAACGGGGAAGTCACATTCACTCAACATCCGTGGTATTAACAACTGCAGTAATTCATTTAATGACTGTGGCAAGAAAGATCACAAAATGGGACAAAACTCACTTCACCAATGTCTCACTTAAGAACAGAAATTTGGGGCTCAATTGTAAGTCGAGGACTACCTGCATTTCCTAACTCCAAGGCCTTGTGATGGATATTTATGGAAATATCTTGGTGTCCTCACATGTATCAGAGGAAGTTAGGATTAGAATTTAGAACTTAGACTTAGAATAACTTTATTGTCACTTTAAATGTACAGTCATTGGCGTACATTAAACTGATTGTTTTCCAGGCAGGATAAATCTTTGAGGAAGTTAATCATTTTTCCTAAGGCAGGCTGAAAGCAAATGTGACCAATCCTGGGGAACATTATTTATTTAAAACAGTCTCGCTACAATTTGCACCTTTCAACTCTCAGAATGTCTACCCATTAGGGACAAAGAACAAGCAGAGAATTCTGGGACTTGTAGTCACTAGGATAACTTGAGGGCATCATCTTGGAGAAAGCTGGTCAATTGGTGAGTTCCTTGAAAAAGTTTAGAGCCCAAATTCAAATTACGCAGCATCTCACAGCTTAACCTATGGTCCTATGAGAAGGATGCATTCAGCAGTATCTTTTTCTAAATTAGGAAATAGGATGTAAATCACCCCATATAGATTAAGGCTACTTAGTGATGGATCTTGTTGTGACATTTGTTCCCATCCTAGAGAGACAGTTTGTCTAGTGGTTAAGGCACGAGCCTAGAAAGCAGGAGACCGTGAGTTCAAGTCCTGCCTTATGTATGAAAGCTAGCTGGGTGGCTTTGGGCCAATCACCAAGAGATGGTGAGTTCTAGTCCACCTTAGGGATGAAAACCAGCTGGGTGACTTGGGGCCAGTCACTGTGGCTCAGCCCAACCCACCTCACTGGGTTGCTGTTGTGGGGAAAATAGGAGGAGGGAGGTGTGTTGGATATGTTCATCACCTTGAGTTATTAAAATAACAAAGGTGGGAAATAAATAAATAAATAACCAAAACAAAACAAATGAACAAAACAAACCATCCTGATGGGTGGAAAATAGAATCTCTGCAACATGAGTTAGAATCCCAGGTGGTGCAGCCATTTGGATCCACTTGGGGACCTCAGTGGGTTACATAAAATCATCCTAGATTGAAATTAATCTAAGAGAGAAGCAACATAGAACTGAGAAATTTCCTGACAGAACAATTCATCCATGGAAGGTCTTGCCTTCAGAAGTTGTGGGTGCTCCAACATTGGGGGTGTTTAAGAAAAAATTGGACAACCATTTGTCTGAAATGGTGTAGGGTTTCTGCTTGAGTAGATAGGGGGTTGGACTAGAAGACCTCCAATGTCCCTTCCAACTCTGTTATTCGATTAAATCCAAGTTTGACTCTTGAGCTCAGCATTGACTAATCGAAAGTCCAATCAAAAATAAAATGGTGGCTCAATTGATTGATGATACACTACCAAGTCATTTTGACTCCTAGTGAATCATGACTGATATTCTCCATGATGATCTATCTCTAGCCTGGTTCTGGATTTGTTTATGGAATGTTTATGCCTAATCTGATCTGAAACTGGCTCATTGGCCATTTTTAATCATGTAAGCCTCCTTTTTTTTTTAATGTAGTAAACCATGGGTCTCCGAACCTAGCAACTTTAAAACCTGTGGACTTCAGCTTTCAGAATTCCCCAGCCAGCCATTATTTTGAAATAATATGCCACTCATATTTGTCATAGTGATACTCACTTTGTCTTCTTCTCAATCTTAAAACCCATTCTAGTCATCAATTCTGCTTGATCTTCTATTTTCATATTTTTGTTAACATTCATTGTCTTCATGTTGTTTGTCATGAAACTTGTTAATGCATCATATTCTTTTAATTTGCCCCAAAGGTGTTTTTTTTCTTCTGAACTGAAGAAGCTTCTTGGATGAGAAGCAAAATGTCCTCCAGGAAAAACAAAGAAAGACCAGTTGCCTTTTGAAAAAGAAGGGAAAGAAAAAAACACTTTTGGGACAACCATGACCTGGGTGTCTGAGAATCTCCATAGACATTTTAATTTGCTTGTTAATATTTCAATTCCCTTTGAAGGATTTTCCAGAACAACATCAAGTATTCTGCAAAAGCTCCTAACTTATAAGTCTATTTTTTAATTCTGTATTGCCACAATTCTCTCATCTTATAAGAATTTCAAGAACCTAAATTATCAAGAAAGTAGACAATGAGTCCCGTTCCTTTTTGTATTTCACATGCTTTTTTGTTAAGTCTCCTTTAACAATTGTTTCTGCTTTCTCTGAAATGTAAAACGATCCGTAGGTATTTTATAAAGTTCTCCCCAAAATTCACATCCTTCAAAACCTTTAACAAGAAAACCTACGGTAGATCAAATTGTCAAAGGAGTTTTCTGCATCTAAGATCAACACAGCTAGTTTTCCATTATATTGCTTAAAATATAAATGTCCAAAATGTCTAATACATTTCTAACCTTGTTAATCTTTAACTGTAATTTAGTTAAAACCCGATATTGATCCTCATGAATAAATTCTTGCAAAAGTATTTTCATCTATTAGCGACGATCATTATGAACAACTTGTAGCTATAGGGATATCAGCTGTATTGTATTTTTTTTTTGTTAAAGTCAACGTTTATCCCTTTGTAGTTATTAATGCTACTGATTTCTTTCCAACTCTCTAGAATTCTTCCTCTCTGTAGGACAGAGTGTGTCATGTTTTGTAAAGATTGTAAAAGTTCATAATAATAAAAGAAACTAGTGTGTCTATGGAGATTCTCAGTTATCCAGGTTCATGGTCGTCCCAAAGATGCTTTTTTCAAAAGGCAACTGGACTTTCTTCATTTTTCTTTGAAGATGTTTCACTTCTCATACGAGAAGCTTCTTCAGTTCTTGGTGACTGAAGAATTTTCTTGGATGAGAAGCTACATGTTTTCAAGTCCAGTGACCTTTTGAAAAACCACCTTTGGGATAAAAAGCTGATCATCATTCTGGCCCAGGAATCTTTCCTAATTTAATATATTTATAACCTCAGAAAGTTTCCTTATTGTTATAGGTCCTTTCATAATCTCTCTCTTATAAAATCCCTGTAGATTTTATTTCTTTAGATCTTCATCTATTTTCTCTAGATCAATGTCACTTCCTTTATACAAATTGAAATAATGTTGATGAAAATGCTTTTTGTAGGACTGCATTGATGATTAATACAATATCTCCTTGAAATTTCAATACCTTTCTTCTCTTTTTATGTTTTATGTGCTGTCTGCTTCCTTGGTTTATTCACAAACTCAGTTTTTTTTCCCTTTACATAATTCATTTTTATCTCCTTTGCTCTTACTGTTAAAACGGATAATTGCTTTCTAAAAGCTTTACTTTGTTGAGCAATACTAATCTTCTCTGGGAATTCCTTTAATTCTTCTTCTTTCATAGCCAACTTCTTTGAAGTCCAAATCAAGCCTGCTCTTGAAAAGAATCTGTGCCTGTCGGAAAAGTAGGTAGACACTCTTGAATTGCCGTATCAACCAGCCCTAAATTGTCCATCAAATCAAAGGAAACATTTGGCATTTTGCCCTGAGTGATTTTAATATTTTTCTCAGGAGTTCTGTCCAAATCTGTTTCTGGCAAAAACATTGTAAATCACGCTCACTTGAATGTGGGACTCTGAAATGACCATATATTTGAGTCAGTTAGCAATAACGCCAGATGTGGTCACTCGACTACTGGGGGCAGCTATCAGAACTTCGAATCTGGATTATAAGTACTTTTGGGGGGAGTTCCTTGTAATTTCAAACAATTGCTAAGCAACAGTCATAAGTCAAGGATTACCTGCTTCAATATAGGTAGTCCTCGACTTATGACCACAATTGAGCTCAAAAATTTATGTTGTTAGATAGGACATTTGTTATGTGAGTTTTGCCCCAGTTTACG